TTTCCCTTCTAGTGTTCTGCAAATTGTAACCAAACACAGGCCTGTAATTAAATGACAGGGCAGGCTGTAGTGATAAAATCTCTTTTGCTGCAGGGGCCCAGGTGGGGGAAGTGTTTTCTGTAGATTTGCATTGCTGCCTTTCGAGGTTTCAAGTCATGTCTGTCTGTCAGAGGGGCTCTGAGCATCAAAGAGCTAAAGGAGCACTGCAAGGACAGAGGCGATATCTCTGCTGCTTGCAAAAGGCGGCTGAAATCTTTGGCTAGCTGAAAGCATAATTTTAGAGCACCTAAGACACCAAACAGGAATGCATCTTCCCCTCTCATTTATGAGTGTATAACCTACCCTATGCACTTGGGCTTAATTTTGTGCATGTTGAAATTGAGGTTTCACTTGATTCCTCCAGACTCAGAGTTGCAGCCAAAGTAAAACAGAGGATAATTATGTTTGTAACAGGTTGTGTGAGCAAGGAGGAGAGACTGAAGATTATTTCTTTGACCACATGAAACACCCATGGGGGTCTCTGTCCATACCATATGCCTCACTTCAAAAGGCAGCTTGGCTCATCTTACTTAAACACATACACTGTCAGTGTCTATCACTGAGCTGAGTGGGATGAATTTCACTATGTCTCACTTTGCAGGGAAAAATCATCACTGCTAGGGCACAACTCTTCTGCTCTGTTTAGACATTTCCATTCAGATGTGATGAATTACTGCCTGGATGAGATTATCTCTTTCCGCTGAGTGTAAATGGCATCTAGAAAAAACTTTGATGGAGGTGCCTGCTCTGTAACAATCTAACACATCTGACCACAACTCAACATGCTTGACTGTCCAGATCATTTCTGCAGTCTTTTCCTCTAGAGGTCTAACAGGGTAGACCCCCTTATACCTCTTTTCCCTCAGAGCAAGGTGGGGGCTTTGTGGTGATGCGAATTAACTGTCATCATCACATGTCCATGGCTGTCCCACCCTGCAGCCAAAGGCTGGTATAGTGGGGTCACAGTGCGTGGGATGCAATGGCAGAAGGCTCCTGGCAGCCTCTCTAATCTTAGAGAGAAGGATGAAGTTTATGAGGATGTTTCTGGAGGACCGAGGACAACACTTAGTCCTTGAGAGTCATCTCGGTGCAGCTAGATTTCACACACCCTTGCCCTCCATTGGATTTGTGCCTATGCTAGGGAATCCTTCTACAGAAGACGTTAGGTGAGTTGAATCCACCCAAAGCCTTGGAGAACTAGCCCTATCCCTGGGTATGTAGGCCAAAGATTATTTACTGTTGGTGTAAATCTGTCCATGTCATTCCATCCTGAATTTATAATGTCTCAGCTTCCATTTTCATCTTCTCTTTTTGAGACTGCAGAGCACTGCACTCTCAACATCATCTTTGTGTGTCTCTTCTATGATCCCATCACATCCTCAGAGTTTCTTGGATAAATGTAATTAAGTCCTGCTAGTCCCTTAACATCAGGCAGGTTTTTCCAGGCCTTGAGTCATCCCCCTAGACTCTGAACCCCTCCATTTTGTTGACACATTCTTGGAAGAGCTGGCACCACACAGAGCTGTAGCATCCAGAAATGATCCTAGTTAAGAGATAACGTCACCTACCTGCTTCTGCTCAGTGTTTCTCCCATGCATCTTCAGGGCTGCACTAGCATTGCTAGCCACTGCATGGCACTGTGAGATTGCAGTCAGATTTTTCCTTCCTAACTCAACTTTTTCTCAGTTTCTCACTGGACAGGACACAGCTTACCACCCCTCTGGGTAGCCCACACCGGTTTCTTACAGAAATTTGTTGCCCATTTCTCAGATCTGTCACTGTGGCTCATACCCATTATCACCGCCAGGTCTTCTGGCTCCTGACACAGATGGTCACAGATGGTCCTGACACTTTTGGTCCCTCCCTTGCCCTGA